GGGGTTGGTCAGTGAGAATTGCATCTGGGGAATTACAGGAGAACCAGTTTAACTAAAACATTAATTTGACAGGTAGGGTGTGTGTTTGTGTTTGGTGGTGGGGTGGCACTTAAAAAAGCTGGGCACAGAAGTTTCAACTTAGCAACTAGTTTGTTAGAAATTTATTGATACTACTATGAACTACTTTAAAACAATTCCTATGGTAGTGTCCTCATATTGTAAGAAAAATAATTTTGCTTATGATTCTGTGCTAAGAGCTTGTAAAAATAAGTCATTCACTCTTGTCTGATGTTTAGTGGAAAATCAGTATCTTTAATAATTAATTCAGCAAACTTTCAGATTGTCTGCCATACACAAGATAATGCCCTACAAGTTTTGGGAGATATAAAGGTGTATTTAAAAATCCCATGGTGGGGGAGAAAAGGAATACATAAACAGTTTGTAATATATAAACACTGATTTATGAATATTTCATGCATGTATGTGATCACCACCAGGGGGCGAATTCCCTTCCTTTTGTAAAACTAGCTGCCAAAGGAGAGAAAGTTCTTCCACCAGAGCCAGTCAAAAGAAAAATTCCTGATCTGTTTTTTCCAGAGTCGTAGAAGGTATTAAAAGTCTCTACTTTTTCCAATCGTAGGTTTAAATAGGTTTCTAACATTAATTGTCTTTCTCATGGAACTAGTGCCATAAATAATAGATTATTTGCAGGTTGATTCCAAAAACATGTATTTTAGCTAATTTTGATGTAGTTAGAAAAACAAATATAATCCATTATTAATGTAATTATGTATATAATTACAATAATATATAATTATAATAGGATATATATTATTATAATGGCATTTATAATTTTTATGGAAAGTTTTCTATAGTACAAACTTGCAGAACTCAATCCATTTATATCAGTGATTGCCTGTTATTTCAAGGCATTAAATAAGTGCCAAATGAACAGAGGTATATATTCACCCTTAAGATTTTCCTATCTTCTGAAATGTAGAATTACTTATTAAAGAAACAATAAGGATTTATCAGTATAACAGTCAAGATAGCCTACTTTCCCTTTTATGAAAGAATAAATTTTTCGCTTTATTTTTGCAGGTTAATAAAAGACCAGCCTCCCCTCCTTCACCATTTCCAAGTACTTGATCACCATTGTCTGGAAATAAATTATAAAAGTTCCATGTCAGGTTAAAAACGAG